CGCGCTCTCGCTGCATACATCCTCAACATAATAGGGCGGAGCATGGTCGGCGAAAAAAGAGCAAGGCAAATAATGAACAGTTCTGCCGTGCTCCGTCGCTCGTGACGTCTATTCTGCCGTGCTCTTTCGTTCCTGGGGTCTATTCTGAAATGCTCCTTGTTTTTTGTGCCGTGATCCTTCGCTCTACTGGCCTATTATGCCATGTTCCTGGCCATGTTCTGTCACAATCCTTTGTTCTTGGGGCTTACGATGCCGTGCTCCTGGTCGTTTTCTGCCGTGCTCTTTAGGTCTTGGGGCATATTCTGCCGTGTTCCTCCGCTTTCGGGGTTTATTATGCCGTGCTCCTTGTGTTTTTCTTGCATACTCCTTCTTCCTTGGGGCGTATTATGCTGTATTATTGCATCTATCTTACCGTGCTCCTTAGCTCTCGTGGTCTATTCTGCCGTGCTCCTGGTCGTTTTCTGCCGTGCTCTTTAGGTCTTGGGGCATATTCTGCAGTGTTCCTCCGCTTTCGGGGTTTATTATGCCGTGTTCCTTGTGTTTTTCTTGCATACTCCTTCTTCCTTGGGGCGTATTATGCTGTATTATTGCATCTGTCTTACCGTGCCCCTTAGCTCTCGCGGTCTATTCTGCCGTGCTCCTGGTCATTGGTCGTGGTTTGCAATGCTCCTTCTTTCCAGGCGCCTATTCTGCCGTGCTCCTCAGCTCTTGGGATCTATTCTGCCGTGCTCCTGTTTTTTTTATGTCATGATCCTTCGCTCCTGGAGCCTAAGTTGCCGTGCTCCTTCGCTCTTGGGGTCTATCCAAAGCCGAACGGGAGAACCTTCTTCCTGTCATGCTCCTGCGCTCCTCTGCCGCAAGCGTCTCGCATTTCTGCCGTGCTCCTTCCTTTTTGGGGTCTATCTGCCGTTCTCTTTAGCGCTTGGGTCATATTCTGCCGTCTGGTCTTCTTCCGCCGTACTCCTTCGCTCTTCGGGCCTGTTCTGCCGTGCTTCTGGTGTTTTTCTGTCGTCCTCCTTAGCTCTTGGGGTCTACTCTGCCGTGCTCCTTTTTTTTTTGGGCCGTTCTCCTTCGCTCTTCGGGCCTCTTCTGCCGTGCTCCTTAGCTCTTGGCGTCTATTCTGCCGTGCTCCTGTGTTGTTTCTGCCGTGTTCCTTCGCTCTTGGGGCCTCTTCTGCCCTGTTCCTCAGCTCTTGGGGTCTATTCTGCCGTGCTCCTGTTGTTTTTCTGCCGTGCTCCTTCGCTCATGGGGCCTAGTATGCCGTGCTCCTGGTTTTTTTTCTGCTGTGCTCCTTAGCTCTGGGGTCTATTCTGCCGTGGTCCTGGTCTTTTTCTGCCGTGCCCCTGAGCTCGTGGGGTCTATTCTGCCGTGCTCCTGGTCATTTTCTGATTCTGCCGTGCTCCTCGCCTTTTTCTGGTTTGCTCCTTCGCTCTTGGGGCCTATTCTGCCGTGCTCTTGGTCGTTTCTGTCGTACTCCTTGGCTTCTCGGGCCGTTTTCTGCTGTGTTTCGGTCTTTTCTGCCGTCGTCCTTAGCTCTTGGGGCATCTTCTGCCGTGCTCCTGGTCTTTTTCTGGCGTCTGTTTCGCTCTTGGGGCATATTATGCCGTGCTCCTTAGCTCTTGGGGTCTATTCTGCCGTGCTCCTGGTCTTTTTTCTGCCGTGCTCGTCAGCTCTTGGAGTCTATTCTGCCATGCTCCTGGTTTGTTTCCGACCCATTTTGCTGTGTTCTTGGTCTTTCTCTGCCGTGCTCCTGCTTGTTGTTCTGCTTTGCTCCTTCGCACTTGGGGCATATTCTGCCGTGTTCCTTGTCTCTTGGGTTCTATTCTGCTGTGCTCCTCGTCTTTTTCTGGTTTGCTCCTTCGCTCTTGGGGTCTATTTTCCCGCACTCCTTCAGCTCTCGGGGTCTACTCTGGCGTGCTTCTGTTTTTTTTCTGCCGTGCTCCTTCGCTCTTGGGGCCTATTCTGCCGTGCTCCTGGTCATTCTCCGCCGTGCTCCTTAGCTTGTGGGGTCTATCTTGCCGTGCTCCTGGTCTTTCTCTGCCGTACTCCTTCGCACTTGATCCATATCCAGCCCTGCTCCTTAGTTCCTGGGGTCTATTCTGCCGTGCTCCTGGTCTTTTTCTGCCGTGCTCCTTAGCTCTTGGGGCCTAATATGCCGTGCTCATGGTCTTTTTCTGCCTGCTCCTTAGCTCTTGAGGTCTATTATGCCGTGCTCCTGGTCATTTTCTGCCGTGCTCCTTAGCTGTTGGGGTGTATTCTGCCGTACTCATTGGCCCTTGGGGTCTATTCTGCCGTGTTCCTTGTCTTTCTCTGCCGTGCTCCTTCGCTCTTGGGGCCTATTCTGCCGTGCTCCTGATCTTTTTCTGCCGTGTGCGCCCAGAAGCTCTGCCAAAACGATCGCCGCGACGATCCGCACGGCAAATACAGGAACACGGCAGAACACACAGAGCACACAGAGGCACGGCAGAACACAGAAGCACGGCAGAACAGGAGCACGGCAGAACACACAGGAGCACAGCAAAACACACCCCGCACGCACGCCGACACGCGCGCCTCGGCATACCTGCGCGGCATAACAACAACAGAGCATTTTCCACATGCTTGGTGGACTAAAGCGATGCTTCCCGTTCTTGTCCAGTCAGGTTTCTTCGAAAGGGGATTTTCGTCGGACGCCTTGATTCCATGTTTCTGTCATGGTTACTCGCGTTCTTGAATTCGCGCGCGAAAGAAGCAAGACAATTCTTGTTCAAAGCAGGGCCCTCCCAGTCATGGCAGTCTCAAGTGTGTCGGCCTGTCTCAGGGGCGTGGGACAGGACGCTTCTTGTAATGAAACGGACAGTCTGCAAGGACGCATGAGGAGGGGACTTGGGACGGAAGGGTGTGTTCGACATCGCTGATGCATCATTGGTCCATTCTGGTCCTTATCCTCCTGCAGCTCTTCCGCGGGTCTTCGGCACGAGCGTCATCGGACGAGTCGCCCCGAGTTGATACTCGTCGAGGGCCTCTCGGGAATGCTGGAATTTTCACGAACGGCCGCGTGGAATCCCTCTCCCATCTTTTGCCTGCCTCCCGCAAGGGTTAGGCCGGGCCTGTCTTCCTGCATGCGGACTTTGGATAGCCAAAAAATTGTCCCCATTTCGCCCCCCGAACAAAAACATTATTTTTTAGATTCCCCCATGTAGGGTTAAGTCGGGCCTGTCCCTCTACAGGGGGAATGTTCAAAAATAGTCAAAAATTACTCAGGGGATTATTTTTCTATCTTTTTGTTTCACTATGTTTGACCATTTTTTGGCCTTTTTTTTCCGTCCAAAAGCCCCCTGTAAGGGGGACAGGCCCGACCTCACTGTAGAGGGACATGCCCGACTCAACGGAAGGACGGACGCCTCATCCCTGCAACCGCTCTGCACGATCGAAATGGGCACGGACAGAAATGGTACAATGCCCAACAGCGGTTCTGGTTCATTTTGAACAGGACTCGCTGTCTACGCCGCCGCGGCCTGTGTCCATTCGAGACAGAAGGCCTCCTGCCCAACAGCGGCCGCTGTTGGTTTGGGACAACATGTGTTGTCGGGCATTGTACCCATTCTTTCCGTACCCATTTCGGGCGTCCAGAACCGCTGCCCGGCCCCCCTCGTGGGGCCGAGCCGCGCCCGCGGGGAGGATCGCCCGAGGCGCCCACCGGCACGAGCAGCCCGCAGCCGGCGTCCCCTGTTGTTGAGTCGGGCCTGTCCCCTTACAGGGGGATTTCCGACGAACACAAAAAAACCCAAATATTAAAAAAACAGTCCACAAATAGTCTGGGGACTATTTTTTGGCTATTTCTTGACCTCTTCGGGGTACTTTTGGGTTTTTCAGTTTTCGTGGAAAATCCCCCCGTAGGGGGGACACGCCCGACATCATTTACCCTGCTGTTGGCCGCCCCCCCCCCGCATCAAGAGACTACCCGACGATGCTTTTAAGCCGGCCAGGTCCCTCTACTCAAGCAGTGGCGAAGCGTCCCGGCTCGCCTCTAGACCTACCAAACAATGTTCTAAGAACCTTTTGTGGTTCCCACGGAATGTTCTTAAAACATTTTCGGCTGGGACTGTCGTGTTTTTTTCGCATCGGGCGTATGTTCTAAGAACATGGCTTTTGATCTTAGAATATTTTTGGGTTCTAAGAAGATTTCGTGGTAGGACTAGAGGAATGCCGGGACGGTCCGTCCCTGCTCAATCTACGGGGGAAGATTCACGAATATGTCAGAATTGGCCTGGGGACGAGTTGTTGTTTTTTTGGTTATGTGTTGGAGCATTTCTTTGACCCGTCTTAGTTTTTCTTCCAGCACCTGCCTGTGTGAGGCACATGCCCGATCTGCTGCTGGCCGCCCCTGGCTTCCCCTGCTGCTGGCCGCCCCCCCCCCCCCCGCATCAGGAGACTACCCGACGATACCGGCTGATAGTGGGGATTGGCTCCGGCAGGTTGCACTTGCGCATGGGCGACGTAAGGGAACGGGGTCGTCTGCGCGTAAGCTGCCCGCGTAAAGTGGCGCGCAAGTGCCCTCGTTCCCGATGTGGTGTGCCGCGCTGGCGGCCTGCGTAAGCTACCGCGTGAGAATGCTACGTCACCTCGCGAAGGACCCATTCCTTGTCTGTCGTCGCTCACATGGCTGGGGTCAGAAGACAAATTCATACAGTGTGCAGTGGACTACCTGAGCACACGCACCGAGGACTGAGGTCTCCAGCCCCCCAGCGCAGGCCCATAGATGACCCATGGGCCCCGCCCCGGCGGTAACGCGCGCTCGCCCCCGCCCCTGGCCCCACATTGTATGGATGAGCAACTCTCAAAGGTTACCTTTACATGGTTCCCCTTCGGCCCATTCTCGGCCACTTTCGCTGGTCGCGCCCGGTTCGAAATGTACCCGCATGGCCTTTCCGGGCCCTTTCCTCCTTGTCGCGTCCTTACTATAGGGGTTGGCTGTACCGCGCGCTCGCACTCGCGCTCCCTTTGCCCCCCGCAATCAGGCGGCCGCGCTGGGCGACGGCGGCGCCGGGCTGAAGACGTGGCTGGTGCACGAGGCCACGTTCAACCCGGACGAGCAGGCGGGCCTCCTTGGGCCCAGCACCCGCGGCAGGGGCGCTGACACCCGTGCGGCCCGTTTCGAGCCACAATCAATCTGCATATCAAGGTCAAGCAACTGTCCAATATTACCTCTCCTCCTCCTCCTCCTCCTCCTCCTCCTCCTCCTCCTCGTCCTCCTCCTCCTCCTCCTCCTCCTCCTCCTCCTCCTCCCTCCTCCTCCTCCCCTCCTTTTTTTCCTCCTCCTCCTCCTCCCCCCCTCCCTCCTCCTCCTCCTCCTCCTCCTCCTCCTCCCTCCTCCTCCCTCCCTCCCTCCCTCCCTCCCTCCCTCCCTCCTCCTCCTCCTCCTCCTCCTCCTCTCCTCCTAACCTCCTCCTCCTCCTCCTCCTCCTCTCCTCCTCCTCCTCCTCCTCCTCCTCCTACTCCTCCTCCTCCTCCTCCTCCTCCTCCTCCTCCTCCTCCTCCTCCTCCTCATCAGGCTCCGTCCCTGCGCTCGCCCCCCCTTCTCGCGGAGTCTCATACGAGGAGCGCGGGCCGCGATGGGGGCTGCCGCACCCGCAGGGGCATGAGGGCTGCCAGAGTGCCGCCCCTCGCGCGGAGGGGCAGGCGGGCGCTCCCTGTGCTCTGGCTGCAGGCACTGCTACTGCTGGGAGGGGTGCGCCCAGGCGAGGGACGCTTCACGTTCCTCTCAGTGTGGAACCCACAGAACCTGCTGTCGCCCGCCCGCTTGGACGAGGTGTCGCGGGCACTGGCTGGCGTGGGAATTGTTGGCCTCCCAGGCACGTGCGTGCGCCAGTGGTGGAACGAGCCTCACCACAAGGCGACGTCGGTGGCCCACCACGTGGTGCATTTCGGGTGGCAGCGTTCCAGGCTCGTAAACAAGAGCTGCGGATGTGCGCTGATGCTGGCCAAGAAATACTTCGGAGTGAACGACATCCGACGGCTGGTCACCCCGCCCGTGGGCCTTCGAGGACGAGGCGGACTGGCCTACCTAGCCTCTGGCCCGCTGCTCCTCGCCGTGTTCGTGCTCTACTTCCCCCCGCGGCCCGCGGCCAAGGGGGAGGCGCCCATCTGGCGCGACACCTGCCGTGCACTGGTGGCCTGGGCGCGGGACGAGCTCCTGCGAGTGCCTCAGCGGTATACCCCTGTGTTGCTCATGGACCTGAACTCGGGCCTGTCCCAGCACTTCGACGAGGACCCCGTGGTCGGCCAGTTCGGTGCAGCGACAGAGAGCTATGCTGGCAAGCTGGTCCATGAGTGGCTAGCGGGGGCACGTATGCAGTTGATCAACACCACGCATCGGGTTGGCAACACTTTCTTCGGCATGGGCGGAGCGTCCTCCCAGATCGACTACATCTGTGCACCCCAGAGTGCTGGAGTGTTAGTGGAGTGGGCGAAGGCGTGGCACCGTACGGCCGAGGCTGCGCGAGCGTCTCCCGCGATCCTCGACCACGTCCCCGTGGTGGCCAAGATTCGGATTGTGCCGCCCTTGAACCAGCTGCCGCTGCGAGAGCGCTGGGACCGCCCGCGCTTGTCAGGAGCAGTCTTGTCGGGTAGTGGACGAGAGCAGTTCATGACCGACCTCCACGAGGCTTTCCTGGAGATTGGTCCGTCGCTCGACGTGCTGGAGACGAGGGAGGCGACGACTGGCCACGCCACGCTGGTCATGGGCACTATTCGCAAGATCGGGCTGGCGCACTTCTCCCAGGCCACGGTGCGCCCAATGTACGAGAAGAAGTTGGACGAGAAGAAGTGGCAGCTGCTCCGTGAGAGGCGTACCATCCTGGAGGAGGTGAAGGCGCAGGAGTTTGAGGCCATGCAGCGCTGCCACGAGACGCCTTCTTCTCCAGCGACCTTGCCGTCGGCTACGGGCCCTACAGGCTGTCTTTCCTCCTCCCCACCTTGCGCTGGATCTGTCGAATCACTCGTATCAGAACGCAACACGCTGAGCGGAGGTTCAGGTGTTTATTCTCGTCGTGGTGCCGAAGAGCCTGTCCTGCCGCGCGAGGGGGTCGCCGAAGTTCGGACGCTCGGCAGCGTGATCAGGAGCTACACGAAGGCCCTTCAGCATTGGCGACGCCGCAGAGCTCACGAGCGCCAGAAGTTCACAGAGGACGAACTCCGACACGCATGGCGAGGTCGTGACATGGCCCAAGTTCCTCGGCTTGCCCGCTCGCTGGCACGCACGGGCATCGGCGTGAAGAACCGAAACTACAGAGCACACGCCTCGTGCAACCCGACGTGCGACGAGTGGTCGACCTTCCTCGCGCAGGGCCCGCTCTTGGGCGGCTTGGCAGCCGTTCGCACGACCATCCCTCTCTGCCACAACTTGAAGCCCGACAGGCTCACGGACTTGGGAAACACCTCGGACTACGCCATCACTCATGCGGTGCACATGTCTAAGGGGGACCTTCGTGGTGGCCAGTCGGACTTCAAGATGACAATCAAGGCCCTACGCCGCACGAAGATTGGCAAGCTCGCGCCGTCCTGGTCAGCTCCCTCGGAGATTTGCAAGATGATCGTGGGCCCAGGATGGCTCAGCAGTCCGACTTTGCATGCTCGCCTGCCTTGGGGAGTGGGAGCCCGACGACCGCTTGTGATGGAAGAAGAACCTCGAGCTCCTGATCCCTATGCGCGCCTGCAGCTTCGCCACCTTGAGGCATTGGGAGAAGGACGACATCGCTTGTACCGTCTTGTCCTGCATGTACGACGCATTGGACTTCTACCCGCGCAGGCGTCTCTCTCGTATGGATTTGCCCCAGATAAGCGAAATGGGAAGACGGGGGCGGCAGGCAGACGGCTGGTGCACGTCATGTGCCCTTTCTGGCGAGCAGTGATGAGGGGGGGACTTCTCCGTGGGAGCACCTTCCGACCGCCGGTGTGGGCCTTCGCTGCTCGAGGCAGGCGAAGGGGGCACTTGATGATGGCGACGAGGATCGCGGCGTGGAAGGGGCACCACTCAGGACAGCACATGCTCCACAAGAGCTACGACGCCACGAACGCGTTCGGGCGCGGCCGCAAGGAGGACCTAGAGCGTTCCGTCAGGGCCCGGTTGGAGGAGGACGAGGAGATCAAGGACCAGGACCTTAACTATGTGACGGCGATCTCCCGTCAGCGACGCACGGCGCTCGCCGTCGTCATTCCAGCTGCCGACGGCGAGGTGGCCCTGAGGAGCGGGTCAGGAGGGTTCATGGGGGGGCACATCGGAACCAGAGATTTTCATGAGTAACTACCACATCGCAGTGACGAAGTGGGCCGAAGTGGAGACGGCTCGCTCTAACGGTGCGATGCTCATCAGGATGCAGAACTTGCCCGAGGTCGACGCAAGCCTGGGATGTTTTATGGACGACACCTTCAAGACCCAGCTTCTGTCGGCGCCCCAGTCCGCGTCGGAGGTGATCCGCCTCTCGCTGCGCAGCGACTCCCAGGGCTTGGACCAGGCTCTCCTGGAGAGGGCCTACGGCCAGAACAGGGCCAAGCAGGACGTGGTGCCTGCTTTTCCTTCGAGGCAGCTGGTACGTCGTACGATTGCGGAGCTTAACCGCAGCGGCTGCCGCAGCATCTACGAGTTGAAGCACCTGGGCGCCTGGTTCAACGCGGTGAACAGCAACAGTAACGAGCTCAAGGCACGGCTGGCTGCGATTACGAAAGGCTGGATGATGGTGCAGGGGTTCTGGTACTCGTCGTCGCCTCTACGAATCAAGCGCTTGATGTTCATATCCTTGGTGAGCGGTGCGGCCCTCTCGGGCACGGTGGCATTTTGCTGGACGGCTGCGGAGACCAAGCAGTTGTGTGGTGCATTGGCTTGCAAGCTACGTTCCATGATGGGAGGTACGGCTAAGGCGGGACCATCACACATCACGACGCTTACCACGCGTGAGGTATATAGGCATTGGAATATTGTGCCCTTTGCATTGGAGGCTACAGTTCAAAGGCTGAAGGCATGGCAGGCGATTGCGAGAGCGCCTCGGAACCATGCCCACTTGCTGGCCATCTTTTACGGCGAGATGCAGCGGGAGGCCACCAGCGCCTACCGCTGCCCACCTACGCTGCTTGAGGACGGCCGCTTCAACGACACGACGCTGATCCACCCTTGGGCGCGTCAGCTCCGACAGGATTTGGAGGTGATGTGCAGCACACCTGAAGCGGAGTCATTCGCCGAGGTGTGGGGGTTCGGCTCCATGCTGGACCGGCTGTGGGACGAGGAGGTGAACTACCTCTTCATCTCGTTCGATCCACGGTGCCTGCGCAGCGCCTTTGCTGCAGCGCAGTGGGCACCGCCACCTTGCCTGGCAGACACTGTGCCAGCCGCCCAGGACGATCAGCAGACTTGGGAAAAAGGAGAAGCGGACGTCTTTGTTTGCACGATCAGAGCCAATCCAGATGACCCGATTTGTGGGCAGAGTTTTCGCACGCGTGCAGCGCTTGTAGCACATGTATGTCAGTCTCGACAACCAGGGCATGGGGGACAGAGCTTATTCAATATTCTAACGCTTAGCAATGCATGGATCAACTGCAACACGGTCTTTCAGAGCAGGGGGGAGGCGGTGAAGCACTTGGCACGGCCATGGCACGCTGGGAGGTGTATCAAACACAATACGGCGTACCCGTACACGCACCACCCGCCTACTACGCACGTGTGCGCGCTGTGCCAGTCCTCGTTCATGACCTACGAGAACCTCCGTAGCCACTTGTGTTCACACCTGCCGCCGACGCAGGAGGGCAGATCCATCTCAGTCGTCACGCCGAGACCTGTACCGTCCAGACCAAGGCCGAGGGCGAAGAGGCCCGCGGCGCCTGCCTCAGGACCACGTCTGAGAGGCAGTGAGATTCGCACAGTCGAGCGCTTGCTTGTCAGCAGCAACACCCTTCTACCCCATGGAGGTGGAGAAGTCAGGGAGGTGGCGCCCACGCAAGGGGGGCTCCTTGGTCCCGTCGCCGACTGGTGGGCAGGCGTCCAACGGCGGAGACGAGAGTCAGCAACGCAAGGGAGCTCGAACCGAGGGAGGAGCACGACTCCAACGCGGCGGCGGAGGCAACGAGGGCTCGGGGACCAAGCCGAAGACCCGACGCGGCGGTCGGAGGCGAGCCGAGCAGGAGGACCGCAGGTTGAACACCAAGGACGCTGGCCTTCGAGAGATTCTACTACTGTTGAGCATGCAAGTGGCTCAGCTCACCCAGAAATCGCGGGCACTATGGGGGATCGCTACCAGGGCCATCTTGATCGAAGAAAAGAGCAGCGTGGTGAAGGCCATCCAGCAGGAGTCGAAGGACTTCTCGGACCACGCGGCGAACCTTCGCACGCAGATAGGCAAGTACAAGGAGGACGCCAAGAAGGCGAGCGGCTCCGACGCGGGGGCCGAGAAGGAGGCGGCGACGAAGGCCGAGGAGGTCCAGAAGGAGCTGCGCACGCTGGGGCCCCCTGCCCCAGCTCTCTTCGCGGCGCCCGTCGAGAGCCTGGCGACCGAGGAGGTGGGGGCGGTCAACCGCAGGGCGTTGGAGGCGATGAAGCAGGAGTTCGTCGAGGCCCCGCCCATGGACGTTCGCCTGTGCAGGCTGGAGAGCTGCAAGGACGAGGACATGATCAAGATCGTGCTGGCTCTCGACGACAAGGCCAAGGAGGGGGTGATTACAGCCTCGCTGCACGCGATGGGAGCTCAGGTGACGAGCGGCATGGCCCCCTCGGGCTACATGGAGGACGAGATCAGCGCTTGGATCGACGCGCTGAAGGCGGCTTGAGCCCTGCCCGTGAGCTCCTCGGCAGCTTCGCCGCCCTGGGCCCAGGCGTTGATGGGGTCGTGTCGCTGTCGTCCGAGTCTGGGGAGGAGGAGGGATGTATGTAGAGCCTAGTCCCCCCCCTACTGCCCCCGCGGCATCGCAGTACTCGCGGTGTTCTGACGGGACTATCGCGGGGGCAGTGGGGGGGGGCGAGGACGGCCTGCGCTTCCTCTGTAGACAGCCGACGCGGAGTCGGCAATTCTCCGAAGCCACTGGCCGTCTCGGTGGGTGAGTTTCTCTGGACCGATGTGCACGCACTGCCTCGGAGCCATCGAGCTTCGGGATGCGCAGCCGTGCGCACCTGGCATAGTAGCAGCACCAGCAGGGTGCGGACGGCGGACATGTGAATTCTTCTAGCAGTTTTACCCTGTGACGGGTTGCTCAGCTCGCGTGCGGTGTGTTGTCAGTCACCATGTGCACGAGTGCTGATGCGCATGCGCGTTAGATGTTTCTAGCGAGCATTGGAGTATTGTGTGATCTTGTCCAGCAGCCGCGTGCAAGCAAGCAAGCAAGCAAGCAAGCTCCTCCTCCTCCTCCTCCTTCGCCTCATTATTCTCATCCCTTTGCCTGGCACTGGTGCTGTTCTTCCGCATTTCGTTCCTCCTCTTTCGTCGTATCTCTCTCTCTCTCTCCCTCTCTCTCTCTCTTTCTCTCTGCTCCTCCCTCCGTCTCAGGACCCTGCTCCTTCTCCTGAGCATCCCTCTCGTCCTCATCCTCCTCCCTCCCCTCCAATTGCTCCTGGTCCTCCTCCTCCTCCTCCTCCTCCTCCTCCTCCTCCTCCTCCCCCTCCCACCCCTCTGCCCCGAGCAGGACAGCACCTTCCTCCTGCAGTCCAGCGCCGCGAGCGCCGGCGAGCCGCTGCTTCTGGTCGACCTCGGCGGCACCTTCGACGAGGGCTCCTTCGGCCTCCTGCCGGAGAGCGCCCCCACGTGGTGCAAGAACGAGACCCAGCTGACCTGGAAGCAGAGGAAGGAGCGCATGCAGCAGCAGCTGACTCTCGAGTGGTCCAAGAAGATGGTGAGGCAGATGCGCGAGCAGAACGACACGGTCCCCGAATGGATGGACAAGATCGTGTCCGACGACGAGAAGAGGGGCAGGATGCGGTGGGCGGCCCAGGAGTCGAAGCGCATGAGGGCGGAGGGCAAGGAGCCGAGCGGACGGACGAGATCCTCCTCCACGTCCACTCCTTGAGATCCGACGCTGCGAATAAGTGCAACATCGCGAAGATCATGACCAGAGTCCTGGACCCCATCTTCCTGCGGCAGTCTTCGGCCCGGGTCGATCGGGAATGGCCCCAGGGCCCGGAATTGGGCGCAGACGACCGGCGTGAAAAGTATACAAAATGATCCAGGCGCTTGGCCCAACCATGTGCAGTTGTGAGTATCGCCGCTGTGGGTATCGCTTTCGGTGGATCTCCCTATGGGGCCACGAGGCGTGTAAAGGGTGTGCCGAAACGAGGCGGGGACGCCTGCGGGCGCAGCCATGGGGGCCTTTCGGTGGGGCCACGAAACGCGTGATGGGGTATGCCACAATGGGCGGGCGGGACGCATGCGAACGTCGCCACTGGGGCCTTCGGTGGAGCTTCAAGCGCGTGAAGGGTATGTCGAAATGAGCGGAAGGGACGAATGCGAACGTCGCCACTGGGGCCTTCGGTGGAGCTCCGTGTGGGGCCACGAAATGCGTGATGGGGTACGCCACAATGGGCGTAGGGGGGCTCGTGCAAATGTCGCCACTGGGGCCTTCGATGGACCTCCGTACGGGGCCGCGACACGCTGTACTGGGCGGCGCGGACGCATGTGATCACAGCCACTGGGCCCTTCGGCGGAGCTCCCTATCGGGCCACGACGCGCCGTACTGGGTGGCGCGGGGCGCCGATGGTCACAGCCACTGGGGCCTTCAGTGCAGCTCCGTGTGCGGCCACGAAGCGCCGTAGTGGGTGGCGCGGGGCGCCGATGGTCACAGCCACTGGGGCCTTCGGTGCAGCTCCGTGTGCGGCCACGAAGCGCCACATCGGGTGGCGCGGGACGCATGTGGTCGCAGCCAGTGGGGCCTTCGGTGGAGCTCCGTATGCGGCCACGAAGCGCCACATCGGGTGGGGCGGGACGCATGTGGTCGCAGCCAGTGGGGCCTTCGGTGGAGCTCCGTATGGGGCCACGAAGCGCAAGATTGGGTGGCGCGGGACGCATGTGGTCGCAGCCAGTGGGGCTTTCGGTGGAGCTCCCTCTGGGGCCACGAAACGCCGTACTGGGTGGCGCGGGACGCATAGCCGGAGGAGTGCCCTATGGGGCCTCGAAGCGCCGAGCTGGGTGGCTTTGGGCGCATGTGGCCACAGCCGCTTGGGCCGTCGTTGGGGCCCCCCATGGGGCCATGCAGCGCCGTACTGGATGGCGCGGCACACATGTGGTCACAGCCACTGGAGCAGTCGGTGGAGCTTCCTATGGGGCCACGAAGCGCAACATTGGGTGGCGCGTGACGTACGTGGCCACAGCCGCTGGGGCCGTCGTTGGGCCCCCTATGGGGCCATGCAGCGCCGTACTGTGTGGCGCGGGACGCATGTGGTCACAGCCATTGGTACCTTCGGTGGAGCTCGATATGGGGCCACGAAGCGCAGTAGTGGGTGGCGCGGGACGCATGCGGTCGCGGCCACTGGGGCCTTCGGTGGAGCTCCCTATGGGGCCACGAAGCGCCGTACTGGGTGGCGCGGGACGCATGTGGTCACAGCCACTGGTGCCTTCGGCGGAGCGCCCCATGAGGCTACGACGCGCTGTATTGGGTGCGCTGTTGAAATGGTGGGCATGCGGAGGGCAGAGGCAAGGATGGTAGGAGGGAGCAGGGAAGGGAGGAGGAGGAGGAGGAGGAACAGAAGAAAGAACGAGAACGAGGAATGCGAGGCGCTGTCTCTTCAAAACGATGATCCAGCACCACAGGATGATTGGGGAAAATTGCAACGCCCAGATCTCAGGTTTTCACCTTCCTCCCACCCCTCCTCCTCCTCCTCCTCCTCCTTGTCCTCATCCTCCCCCTCCTCGCGAGGAGACGCCCAAGTGGATGGACGAGCTCGTGGAAGAGGACACCAAGTGGGCCAACCGCTGGGCAGCGTGCAAGGCCGCGGAGCTCAAGGAGGCGAACGAGGAGGTGCTCAGTGGACCCTCCGTCTGCTCCTCCCTGTCTTCGTCCCTCCTCCCCTCCAGTTTCGTTTTCTTATTCTTATTCTTCTGCTGCTTACCATCATTATTCTTGTTATTTCTCCTAATACTAGTATAACTCTTCTTCTTAGTCGTATAAGTATTATTATTCGTTCTTTACCTTTGTTATCATTATTATATTTAGTGTGATCATTATTATGAGTATGATTCCTGTTAGTTCCACTATCATTAGTATCATCATCAGCAGCATCATCATTACTAGTACTGTTGTTATTTATAGTATCAGTTCCAGCATTATGGTTCTTCTTATTATTATTATTATTATTATTATTATTATTATTATTATTATTATTATTATTATTATGATTGTTATTATTATTCGTAGTATTATCATCAGTCTTATTAATATGCTTATTATTCTTATTCCTCCTCCTCCTCCTCCTCCTCCTCCTCCTCCTCCTCCTCCTCCTCCCCTCCCTCTTCCTCATCATCACTCTGATCCTGCTCAATCTTCGTTCCGTTCCCCTCCCTCATCCTTCTCCCCCTTCCTCCGCGCGCACCGTCCTCCTCCTGCTCATCCTGCTGCGGCTGCTCGCCATCCTCCTGATGGATTCCCTGTGCAGGGGGGCCGCCGTCACACGACCTCACATGGCGCTCGTCGTCGTCGCCGTCGTCGTCGTCACCTTCCTCCCCTTCTCCTTCCACCAGCCTCTTCCTACTCCTCCTAGCAGCCTACTGTTCCTCCTCCTCCTCCTCCTCCTCCTCCTCCCTCCCATCCTCCTCCTCCTCCTCCTCCTCCTCCCGTCCTCCTCCTCCTCCCGTCCTCCTCCTCCTCCTCCTCCTCCTCCTCCTCCTCCTCCTCCGCCGCCGCCTCCTCTTCCCACCCCCCGTGTGCCAGCCGTCTCTCTTCGTCGTCCAGGTGCCCCAGTGGATGGTCGAGAACGGTCGCAAGGGCATCATGGATGCCGCGACCGAGAAGGCCGCAGAGCTCCAGGAGCAGATCGAGGAGATGGAGGAGGAG